AAACCCGGGTCTCTCTGGACCGCAGGCTGACGCTCTAACCGCTTAGCAAACTGGCCAGGGCTTTTTTTTCCCTCCTTCTGGCTTTTTTCTACCTAACAATATATCTTGGTGATTGCTCCCTATTGGTTTGTCAACAGCCATGTGGGCCTTCCCCTGTTAGTCTCTATTGTCACACCTTGTTCTTCCTTTCTTGAACTTAGTATGATTTGTAAATACCTCTGAGTATGTCATAATGTTCATTTGGTCATGAACTGTATCACCTCATGAGAATGTCAGCCTCATCAGGGCAGGGCCTTGGGTGGGTTTGTTTATTATCTGTTCCCGGAACAGGGCTGACACAGGCCGATTGCTCTCTTTGCTGACAGGGAGGGCAAGAAGGCTCGGCCCGAAGGAACCGCGTCCAACACCCCCGAGTTTAGCTCATGGTCCCTGCTGCAAAGCCAGTGTGGCCCCCAGGGGCGTCAGCTCTTCCCAAGGCCTAGACACGCTGATGGAGAGAAGGGGAGGCGGTGGTCCTGGAGGGCAGCCCCGGGGGCTTAGAGGAGCCAGGACTGTGGGGATGGAAAGCCCGGCCAGGTCAGGAGGGGGCTGAGGGTGGGAGGAAGGTGGGCTGGGTTGGGTGTCGTTTCCCCCCATATAAATCACAGGGGTGGGCAGTGGGGGTGCCGTGAGCCAGCTTCACCCTGCAGGGGCAACAGAAAGGCAGGGAGGAGTTGGGATAGAAGCAAGGAAATGAGAAGGGGCAGAGAGAGGTAGAGGAGGAGGAGGGTGGGAGTGAGGGAGGGAGACAGAGATAGAGAGAGGAGAGGTAAAGAGATCTAGAGAGGCTGGTCATAGATACCGAAAGAGAGAGAGACTTACAGACATTGGGGTGGGGTTGACCAGAGCCAGGGAAGGATCCAGAGGTCAGAAATACCCAGAAAGCACTGGGGCAGAGGGTAGTGGGAGTCCTGCAGCAGGCAGGGGGTACGCACACTGGAGAAATGTGCCCACGTATCAGATATAAAATCCGTGCAGATCTCTGCCACGGCACTGATTGGAACAGTGGACCACTGCCAGCTTCCTGAGTGGCCATCAACTGGGATATTCAATAAATCATAAAGGGAGGAGGGGAGAGAGGGAGAAAGAAACATGGATGTGAGAGAGACACACCAATTGGTTGCCTCCCCCACACATGCCAGTCGGGACTCAGGATCAAACCTGCAACCCAGGTACATGCTGTTGACTGGGAATCAAATCCCAAGACCTTCAGTGTGTGAGCCGATGCTCTAACCACGAAGCCCACTGGCCAGGGTGCAAAATGACTTTTTTTATGTCCACAATTTGTAATTTCTACATCTGGCTTGGTATTATAGCTCTTAATTTTACTTTTCCATCACTGGTTTGGCTCCCCCTCCCCCTGGGCACACTTGGTCCCTGGTTCCTGCCGGCTGCACGGGAGCCCATCCTTGGTGTGCGTCCTCCTCAGAGGATCACTCGCTCCCCGGGGGCGGACACCCAGGCTGCCTCCAGCTCCCATCCCATCTTTTCTGAAGCAGTGACCATCCTCAGGCTTGCTCCCATATGGTCCCAAGTGAGCCATAAGGCATCCAGGAGCTGAAGTACTGGAAAATACTAATGTGCAATACTAACGACCAACTGACGTTCAAGTTGATCCTTGAACACTTCAGGGGTCAGGGGTGTCGATCCCCTCATTCCTGCAGTTTAAAATCTGTGTATAACTTTTGACTTGCCCAAAACTTGACATGTCCCTTGGTATCCACAGGGACCTGCAGCAAATACCAAAATCCACAGGTGCTCAAGTTCCCTATGAAAAGGACTTAGCTCAGTGCTTACAGTCCGCCCTGCACATCCTTGGACTCGGCCGAGGATCAAGAACAGTACAGGTATTGTGGGAGATGTCCATGTATAAGTGAACCCACGCAGTTCAAACCCATGTTGTTCAGGGGTCAGCTTAGTGACAGAATTTGCCTGTCTGATTGCTAATGAGTTTGAGCTCCTGTGCAGTCTTTGGGTTTTTTTTCTTCCATTCGTTGCCTGTTGATATCCTTTGACCATTTTTCTACTAGGGTTGTTCTTTTTCTTGTTAAGAAAAATCTTATCAGTGTTAGAGTTTGCAAATATTTCCTCCCTTTCGAAACTTATTACATTTGCTCATGTCCTTCCTTGAACACATTCTTGATATAATCAAATTTACTTTTTCTTCATAATTTATTCCTTTGAAGTTTTATTTAAGAATCCCTGCTCTGCCTCTAAGTCACTGAATATTTTCCTCTATCAACTTTATAGTTTACCAGGAATAAAGCAGCACAATTCTATAGTAATAGGATTTTCAGCTAGACAAAATAGACATTTCCTAACCTCCAATGCTCTGAGTGTGGTCACATGACCAAGCTCTGGCCCACGAGGTCGTGGTGCAACCACGGGGGTCCTGTCCTTCAAGAGGAGTGTCTTCTTCCCCTCTGTTCTTAGCAAGTGCCCTTGGACCACGTGGGAGGGGCCAGTCCCAGGGTGGAGCGGGAGGCTGGGACCCTGCCGACTGGGCAGGGCTTAATCCCACACTCCCTGGCCAATCACAGGTCTCAGTGGCTCTCCAATTTGAGCGGCCTGACTCCCCTGGCGGGCTCGTTGTAGTCCAGATAGCCAGATCCCAGAGTGTAACTCAGCCCGGGGTGAGTGGGCCTAGGAACTTGCATTCCCACGAAGCTCCCAGGGATGCTGCCAGTCCGGGAGCCACGCCCTGAGAGCCACTGGTCTGACTTGTTAAAACCTGGCCCTCGCCCGTCCCGGACTCCCTCTGCTGGGCCTTCGCTGTGGCTGAGAACACTCACTCCTCAGGAGGGCTGTGTCTGGACAGTAACATCCGCCCAGGGGAGACCCCTGTGCCACGTCCGGCTGAGGCAGATGACTGCGGCCCCACCACCTCTGCCCTCGGAGTGCCTCCTTCGCGGGGCGGGAGCCTGCAAAGCTACCTTGTACAACTCCCTTACCAGCCGACACTGGTGAGGTCCCGCCACTAGGAGGCTTCCAGTGGGTGCTGAGAGTGGGAAGCTGGACAGTCACGCTGCTCAGTGTGGCAGGGACATGAGTGGGCTTTGGCAGTGCCACTGACCTCTTTGTCCTTCAGTCGCATAGTGGAGGCGCCTGCCTTTAAGGACCACTGGCTGGATTACTGCCCTGGGTGGGCCCTCCAGTGCCGCAGTGACTTGGTAACTGACCTCCCATTGAAAACCAGAGGAGTTTCTGACTGATACTGTGGGAACCCCTTTACACCGTGGCAGCAGGAGGCAGGGGGCCTGGAGGAGGAGCTCCCCAAAGCCTTTCTTTGAAACTGCAGAGATGGGATTGAGGACACAGTAAGGGCAGAGCTGTGGGGGCTCTGGCTCTCCCGTCCTTACCTGGTTTGGGGACTGCGGCTACTCCAGCCTCCTGCAATGAGCCAGCTATCCCTGTGGAACAAGGTATGAATTACCTGATCCTTGAGTCCGGTGGAACTCATTTGTACACGCGTTCATGCTTAAAGTATTTCTAAAAATGTGTGTGTGTGTGTGTGTGTGTGTGTGGGGGGGGGGTTATTTTGGTCTTTCTTGTTATTTCTCCTCAGGCCAATTTTGGCCTGTTCTTTTCCAGACACACTCACATACAGCAACCGTCGCTCGTGCTGGGATATTTAAGTCTGTGATTGTCTAGTAGACCATGCGTGGACTTGGCCGGCTGTCACAGAAACAGCACCCTGTTCTTGGAGGAGCTCAGGGCCAGTGGACGCCCTTACCACACACTTCCACCCACAAACCAGGCCGAGGTTGCTGGTGCCCATGAAGCCTGGAGGGCTATGGGGGGGGCTCACCCCTGTGTTCGCAGCTGTCCTCGGAAGCACTCCTGCCCGACTCTTCTCAGCATGCTGGGGGCACACACACACACACCTGCACTGCCTGGAGTGCTTGGTGCCCCGGATGCGCGCACACACACACACACACACACACACACACACACACACCCCTGCACTGCCTGTGTGCTCGGTGCCCAAGATGCAGTCGCGTAGTCAGCTGGATTCCTTCTTCCCTCGAAGGGACCCAGCCACAGGCCCCGGAGTCCCATCTGGAGGGAAGGGCCTGACCAATGGAGTCTCTGTGAAGCTGCGGCCCAGGTCCATCCGCCTTAGCCAAGCCCCAAAGCCCATCTGTCCCCAACTGCCTGGTGACCAATTTACTAACATCAGCTCCCCAGGATCAGCTCCTACCCACTGAACACGCTCACCACAACCTTTAAAGCAGGTTGCTAGAAACCACACATTTGGTAAACTGGTCTTCACAACCGATGGACTCGTAAGCGGACTCCCCTTCCAGGACTGGGGTGTGGGGCGGGTGTCAATCCTGCCCCCATGAGCAGGAGTTGCCAGCTGCTCTTGGGCCTGGAACTGCCCATCCACCCAGACAGGGCCCTGGCCCTCGAGGGGCTGGAATCCTGGGGGTTGGCCAGGCCCGCCCACTCCTGACCCCAGAGCCCCTCCCCCGCCAGCCTAGCAGGCAGGGGCCTCTGCACCCTGCACACACACATACACAGAATCAAGAAAATGTTTTAATTGTAAAACTAACTTGAGGGAGGGGAGGGCAGGGCTGCTCCGAGGGGACAGGAACCCGATTCTGCATTGGTTCTGGCCCCGGTGCCACCCGCGGGGCAGGGACCATCTGTCCCCAGCTGGGAGCAGGGGCTAGTGTTATAAAATGACAATATAAATAGACTTCTAGAAAAGAAGAGGCTGTCCAGGTGCAGTAGTCATTTTCTGCAGAGGCTGGGTGGGAAGCCCTGTCTCCCCATCTACCACAGAAAGGGGGTGCAGGGCTAAGGGAAAAGGCCACTCTTCAGACATTCATGATCGACCCCCACCATGGCTCAGGGGGGGAGGGGGCTGTATGTTGAGCAAGGTCTCAGAGACACCCACGCGCAGCCTGGAGGACAGAGGAGCTGGACCTTCCGCTGCACACACGCACACGCACACGCACACGCACGCACGCACGCACACATACACACCTCTTTCGTAGTGTTCTCCCCACCCCCAGCAGCCACACTGCAGGTTTCCAGTGATGGGAGGGCTGCCTGTCCTCCCACAGACAGGAAGACAGGGCCTGTCCCGGAGGTGGGGATCTGGGCGCCTCACTTGTTCCCACAAGTCCCGTAGTTTTAGTCACAAAATCAAAACCGGAGTTCAGTAGTAGGGTCCCCCACACTGCCCCCAGTAACGAAGGCAGTGCCACACGGAGTGTCTCCCAGGCCGGGAGGAGCAGGGGCGGGCCCTCTACTGGCCTACGGCAGGGCAGGGGTGACCCAAGGGGCTCTTTGGTTGAGGGACAGGGCGCCAAGCCTCATCTGGTGCGGTTCTGGCGCATGAGCGGCACGATGCTGGCGGGCGGGCCCGCTTTGGCCAGGAAAGGGTGCCTCAGCAGCTCGGCCGCCGTGGCGCGCTGTGCTGGGTCCCGCACCAGCAGGCGGTCCAGGAAGCCCTTCAGGGATGGCGACACCTGTGGCGGGAAGAGGGGCTGAGTGCCAGTGCTCGCTGCCGGGCCCTGTCCCCTCCTGTCACTTGGGCTGACATCTACTGCCCAGGCTGGCAGGAAAGGTGCCGGTGTCTGAAGCTTGGCCCCAGGGACTCAATCCTCCCCATTTTCGAGGTTTGGTGAGGAGGGGGCAGCAGCAGGGCCCTGGAGGGCCCTCTCCGGGGCTGGCTGCGTGTGTACCCTCCGCCAGGCCAGCCTGAGCACCTCTGTGGGGTAAGGAGGGCGCTGAGCCCAGCACCCAGGAAATGTCAGCCCAGGAGATATCAACGCCCCAGTCCTGTTCACACCCAGTGCTCAGCTGGGGTGTGAGGCTGGGTGTTGCGCAGCCGCCCCCTGGGCGTGTGTCTTCCTCACACCACCTGCCTGCCCATGGGGCCCACCTTGTGCAGGTTCTTCAGTCGGGGTGGCAGGTTGTCACGAATCATCTTCATGGCTTTGAGGGGTGGCTCATTGAAGTAGGGTGGCTCCCCGTCCACCATCTCGATCACCATCACCCCCAGTGACCAGATGTCCACCTGCAGTGGAGGAAGGGATGGCGGGGTTTGTGCTGGGTGGGCCAGGGCTTGGGGGAAGCCTGGGGAGGGGTGGCCCAGTTCTGCTTTGTAAAAATTTGTTAATCCTCACCTGGGGTATTTTTCTATTGACTTTTGGATAGAGTGGAAAGGAGGGAGAGGGAGAGAGAGACATCAATGTGACAGAGACACATTGACTGGTTGCCTCCTGCACGACCCCGACCAGGCCAGGGGATCAAACCTGCAACCCAGGTATGCGCCCTGGACCAGGAATTGAACCCGCAAACCTCCAGTCCTCAGGCCGACGCTCTAACCGCTGAACCATACTGGCCAGGGCCCCAGTTCTGCTTGTCTCTCCGAAACCGGAGCCCCCGGGCCCAGAACACCTGTCTGACACCCCGTCAGCGGACCCCATGCACTCCTCACCCAGAAAGCCCTCTGAAGGGTTTTGCCCACCCAGCCGGTCCCCCTACATTTTGCTAAGCACCCCTGGTTTCCTCTGGTGGACACCCCCCTCCCTCACTCTCAGCTAGGGGTGGGCAGGGGGCGGGGGCATCACCAGGTTGGTTGGGACACGGTACTGGGTCAGGAACCAGCATACGACACAAGCTGAACCAATCAGTCAGCCTCAAGACTGTCAGCCCCATAGTCCCCGGTGCCCACAGGCAGGGGGCCGGGTCCCCGCTGCAGGGCCATCTCTGCTGCCACAAGGGGAGCTCCTGCCCGAGTGGACACTCAGGAGAAATCAGGGCCCGAAGGCGGAGAGTGTGTGGATGGCCAGGCCTGAAGCCTGTTACCCCTAAGGCACAGTTTTGGGGACTTACAGCTTTCAGGTTTTGCTAAATTCATTTGAGCTGGGTTTGTCACTCACAGGCTGTCTTGACTGAGATGTCCCATCAGAATCTCACACCAGTCTCCCCTCCCAGCGTGACCTCCCTGCAGCCCGGGACCCCCCACGACGTGCTTCCCAGGGTGCCTGTCTCACGGCCAGGCACTGGGTCAGGTCCTGCTGACTGGCTGCGGGACCCTCAGGGCCAGGCGGGCGATGGTCGTGAGAGAAGCAGGTCAGTGTGGGCGGCGGGAAGGGGTGGGTTACGGCCACGGCGAAGGGGCTGCCCTCTCTCCAGCCGAGCAGCCCGTCTGTGCTGCCGACTGTTGCCATGTGGGAATTTGTACCGTTATGAGAGATTTCTCTCTTTTTTAAAAAAAATCCTCACCTGAGGATATTTTCCCGTTTATCTTGAGGGGGGGGTAGTGAGAGAGAGAGAGAGATTGGTTGCCTCCCGCTCAGCCCCGACTAGGGCCAGGGACCGAACCACAACTGAGGTAGGTGCCCTTGACCAGAATCGAACCCACGACTCTTTGGTCTGCGGGCTGATGCTCTAACTGCTAAGCTAAACCAGCCAGGGCAAGAGACTTCTCTTTTTAAAATGCTTGCAAAAAGCATCTCCAGGCCAACCAGCCAGGAGCCGGCCACTCTGGCCCTTGCACCAGCTCAGTCAGGGCTGCGGCCACTTCTGCTCAGCAGTCTGTTCTCACTGCCAAGCACTGGGCCTGGCTCAGAACTAGTACCAGGGAGGGAGGAATGAATGAATGAATGAATGAGTGAATGAATGAATGAATGCCTACCCCTCCTCCCGGTGCCATCCCTGCAGACCCATTCCCCACCCAGCACTCGGGCTGTTCTGAACCGTCACAGCATGAACTGGTGCCGACGGCGGAACCACCAGCTGCCGCTGGCTTACCTCTGGCCCGTAGGGAAGGCGGGAGATGAGCTCTGGGGCCATCCAGTAGGGCGTGCCGACCAGTGACTTTCTCCGTGGCACCTCTTTGCTCACTTGGGCGCAGAATCCGAAGTCTGACAGCTTCACCTGGGGCAGGGCGCAGGCAGCGGAGTCAGAGGTGCTGGCGTGGGGAGGGTGAGCAGAGGTGTCCACCTATTTAATTCCTTGGCCTCCAACGTGCTGAGTCTCCACTGTGTGGCCCAGAGGTTAGAGCCAGGCCACGGGAGCTCCACCACCTCTGGCAGGGCCCTCAGGTGTGCCACTGCTCCAAGGTCACACCATCTGCCTCCCAGACAGGGTCTGCCCCGTGGCAGGTGGGAGTAGTGGCCTGAGTCCTATGGGCACCAAGGCTGGTGCAGGCACTGTGCCCAGGGCTGGCTCCCAAAGCTCATGCCCTGGGCCTCTGCTTCCCTAGAGAGTGACGGCAGGCGGCAACCAGGCCCGCAAAGCCAAGGCTTCCCACCTCTTTTGGAGCCGTAGGCCCCTTTCAGACTCTTGAGGACATCTGTGGGTCCTCTCAACCCCGGAAGCCCGCCCAGAGCGTGTACAAGTTCAGGTGGCTTACAGATATCCCTAAAACACATCTGTAGACACCTTCAGGTGTTCAGACTCTAGACTGAGACTCCCAGTGACAATGAGCTTCATGCTGCCACCTCTGTTGTCTGGATTAACTTTCCTGGGGGAGGGCGGGCGAATCACCAAGAATTTGATAGGTCAAGGGGCCCTCCCACTGAGGGTCCACTCTTGGAATACAAATGGCTCATCCGCAGACCTCAGACCTTCAGTTCAGAACACAGGAGGCGGGGTGGGGCCACCCACACGCGTTCTCCCCTCTCTGAGCCCAGGATAAGAGCACAGCTGCCAGCACCCTGCGCTGAGGGCGGAGCCCCCGCCGGCCTGGGCCACCAGTGCCCTGACTCTGGACTGCTGCACGAGGAACGAGCAAGCTGCCCCTCAAGACGCTCAAGGGGGCAGAGCCGACGACAACGGCAGAGGGGGGGCGCCCAAGCCACCGAATCCTCACCCTGCCATCGTGGGTCAGCAGGATGGAGTCACTCTTGATGTCGCGGTGGATGACACCCTGGGCGTGGAGCACAGACAAGGCCTGCAGCACGGCGAGGCACACGGAGGCTATCTGCTCCTCGTTCATCCTGCGTGGGGAGCAAGCAACTGTGGCCAACAGAGCACCGCCCCGGGGCCTGAGGGGACCCAGCCCTGCCCTGGGGCCTGAGAGGGACCCAAGCCCACTCTGGGAGTGAGGGGGATGTGGCCCTGCTGGCTCTGCCACCCCAAGGGGTCTGGAGGGGACTTAGTGCTGTGATGGGAGAGGTCTGAGGGGACCCAGGTCCACCTTAGGGAGCCCAGACAGACAGCAGGCTGGGTGCCAGCCAGGGTCCAGCTGCCTGGCAGTACCTGGTGTGGGTGACGATGTCGGTGAGAGCGCCTCCCTCCAGGAACTCCATCACGACCCAGAGCTCGTCCCCCACCAGGTAGCTGTTGTACATCTCCACCACATTCTCGTGCTGGTAGTCCCGCATGATCACCACCTGGCGTGGGGCTGGATCAGCGTGACGGGAGGAGGGCCGGCCGCCCTACCTTCAGACCTGGCCATCAGCCACCCTCCTGCCCCACCATCCGGCCCAGACTTGGGCCCTGCCACATTGCAGGCCCAGTTCCACCTGTCACTCTTGCTCACCGGGATCACCCTGGACTGCCCTCCCCACTGCCAAAGTCAACAGACCACAAAGGCAGCTTCGGGTCCGAAGCCTCCATTCCAAGGGTGCCCTCTAGCCCATGCACACACATTTCCGATCCCAATGTGTGACCTGTCCTGAGCTAACCTCTGAGTGGCCCTGAAGACCAGGCTGGTGCTGGAGAGGAGGTGGGAAGAGAGCAACTAGCACAAGGCTGAGACCTGGACGAGCATGAGCTGAGGTTAGAGTAAGGGGGAGGGGACTCCCGGGGAAGGGGCACAGAGGCTACAGGCCACATTCCACAGGAGCTCATGGTGACTGGGCTGAGGGACGGGTTCCTGGCACAGCTGAGTGCTGAGTGATCCTGCGTCAGAGTCCAGAGGTTGCCCCCACACAGCCCTCTCTGGAAGGAGCCAGGTGTCTGCCTCTGTAACAAGCTTCCTGGCAGAGAGGCCACCAAGAGCCAAAGTCGAAGGCTGGACAGAGCCAAGGACTTAGATGGAGGTGGGTTTCAAATGCCAGGCAAAGGGCCGGGCCTTTTCCCTGAAGCCTGGGGCCCTCAAGGCTTAGTGGCGGGGGGCGGGGAGGCTGGCAGGCTTGCCCCATGAAGAGCCCTTTGGCTGCTGTGTGGGGATGCCCAGGGGCACCCAAGAAGGAGGCCAGGGCAGGTCTCAGTGGGAGAGGATGGGGCTGTAGGGGGTGAGGCGGGGACAGGCACCAGGGAGGTCCAGGGCTCTGGCCTGGGGACAGGGTTGGTGGGGCCCCTCTGAGACAGGGAACCAGAGGATAGGCAGGTGTTTGGGGAGACAGTTGGGGCTGTGAGGGGCCTGGAAGACACTTAGAAGGTGGAGTTCAGTGGGCCCAAGGGTCCTAGAACTGGGGCTCAGGGAGGGGACAGGAAAGGGACAGAGATGTGCCTGCAGGTATCGTGGGGAGGGAGGAGAGCCCAGCCCTGAAGCGCTGGCCCCGCCCCACGTCCGCAGGCCCTCGGCACCAGGGGCGGAGGGGCACCGGGAGGACGGGGAGGGCAGGCCGGGGAGGCCAGGGGGCCCACCTCGTTGAAGAGCAGCTCGCGTCTCTGCTGCTTGCGCAGGTCCATCTTCTTGACGGCCACCAGACGCCCCGAGCTGCGCACGGTGGCAATACACACCACCCCCGTGGAGCCCTCACCGATCTTGATGAAGTTGTCCAGGTAGGAGCGGGGGTCACCAGGGTCCACCACCAACTGCAGAGCAGCCCGGAACTGCTCATGGGACACACGCTGGGGTTCCCGCTGTGGAGAGCGGGGGCCAGGAGGCCCAGGGGCTGGGGTGCCAGCAGGGACAGCGAGGGTTCGGGCTGGAGGGGCCAGCTGGGGCTCGGAGGAATGGGGGCCCAGCACTCCAGGGCTGGGGGGGTCACGGGCTCGGGCGGGAGGCCGGGAGGACTGGGGGACAGCCAGGCCCCCCACTGATGGCCCATTAGGGGCCATATTGTGAGGCTCCCCCTGAAACAGAAAAGAGAGGAGGCTGTTAGTGGAGGGGCCAGGGGCCAGCTCTGCTGTCCTGAGCAGGGCGAGGCCCGGCTGTGGCACAGACATGTGGTCAGGATGGAGATGGACAGTGGGCTGGGCACAGGTGGGAGTTGGTGGGTGGGGACAGGGAAAACTCTGGGCAAGGGGGCAGTGGTGGGTCCTGGGGCGGGGGATCAGTTACCTGGGCGCCCCGGGATGGGTGGTCCGTATCGGCCCGCGGGTACGTGTTAAAGGGCCGGCCAGCTGCCACTTTCGCCCCACTGGCCACACCAGCAGGCTGGGGGGTGCTGACGTCAGGCCCAGAGAGGGGGCGCTTGTCCCGGGAGGACTCCTGGGGCCCGCCTGAGCCCTCCCTGGAAGACTTGGGCTTCTTCTCCGGCCCCACCCGCCGCCTGTCACCACTGCTGCTACCCCCCTCGCTGCGACCAGAAACCCGGCCGTGGCCCCCCGCTTTCTCCGGGCCCCCTCTGGCCATGGCGGCCTGCTCCGAGGGCATCCCATTTTCCTGGCGGGCACGGACAGGTGGCGGCGGCGGGCTGTCTCTCCTCAGGGAATTGGAGCGTGTCACCGACATGTTCTCAAACTCGTCCAGCAGCAGCGTGAGGGCCCCATCCTTGGCACCTTTGCTGCCCCGCACGATGGTCTGGGGTCCGGGGTCCGGGACGGTGGCAGGGTAGGGGCCGGGCAAGGAGGACGGGGACAAAGGACATGGAACCGACACACAAGGAAAGGACAACACAACACACACAGAGACAAGACAGAGACAAATGAAGAAATGCTATGGCGTGACAATGGGGCTGGGCAGGAGGGCAGCACCAGGAGGCCCCACAGCACCTCATCCCAACACACAGAGCTCAGCTGCCGGAGGGGGCTGACGAAGTAACGTCCCGGGGCCAGGCATCACCTTCCGCCCCCAGCAGGAGGCTGGATGCCCTGGAGGAGCACCGTCCTGTCTTTCTCCTGCTCTCCTAGCTGGGGGGAGGTTCCTGCCCCGTGCGTGAGGGGAAGGAGGGCAGAGGGCACCCCATGCCACGCCACACCACTCGTAATCAGCCCCGGAGAGCTACAAATTACAGGGTGCCGGGGCCAGGGCACAGCGTGGCGCTCCCTCCCCTGCAGCCTGCCAGTGTTGTTAACCCCAAAACCACATGCTGTTCCCCTGGAGGCTGAGGTGGGGTACAGGGAGAGTCAGAAAGGACTGGGCCTTTGGGGTGGCAATGAGAATGCCCATGGGGGCTGGGTGGAGCAGCTGTCCCAAATCCAGCCAGTGCTCACCCTCCATGCCCACCACCCCAATCCAGGCCACCTCTTTGAGTCACAGACTCCAGGGTCCCTGCCGCCCACTTAGCTCCAGGCACACGGGCCTCACTGCTCCTCAAACACAGAGGCAGCCCCTACCTCAGGACCTCTGCACTGGCTGTTTGCTCTACCTGGAACATCTTTCCCAAGTATGCCATGGCTCCCTCCCTTCCTCAGGTCTTCGCTGGAAACTCCACTTCTCAAAGGCAGGCTTTTGCTAATCAGCCATCTAACATGCCAGCCCCTACCACTCCCTATCCCCCTTCCCTGCTTTTCCTTTAGAGCACTTAAAGCCAGAGAACACGCTACCGCTTCCAGGTGCACTGTGTGCAGGCAGCGACTGGCTCTTCCTGTTTCTGCTCTTGCAAAATCCGAGCACCTAGAACAGCATCTGGTATGCAGCAGGTGCTCAATAAACATTTGCTGCCCTGGCCAGTTTGGCTCAGCGGTTAGAGCGTCGGCCTGCGGTCCGGAGAGACCCGGGTTCGGTTCCCGCTAAGGGCATGTACTTCGGTTGCAGTTTGTCCCCGGCCCTGGTTGGTCGTGCGGGTGGCAGCCACTCGATGTGTCCCTTCACGTCGATGTTTCTCTCTCTCTCTCTCTCCCTTCCTCTCTCTCCCTCCCACTCTATCTGTACAAAAAATGGAAAAATATCCTCGGGTGAGGATAAAAAAAAAAAAAAAAAAAAAATAATAAACATTTGCTGAACCAGTGAGGGAGTGAGGGGAGCTGGGGAGCGGCTGTGGGAAGGCAGAGAATATGGCCCCTACCCCTATACTGTCAATTAGTGACATATAAGGACATGGGCCCAGGGCTGCCAGACACCCTGAAGTCAGAATTGTCTCTGACCCCACAAAACTCACCTACTGGCCACAGTGCCCCTGTGGGCCTTGGCTGCCAGCCTGGAGCCTGGCTGTGCCCAGGAACCCAGGGAAACAAGGCAGAAGTGCCTGGGGGGTGGGGGAGGGCTGGGCAGCAAACGCAAGCGCCCCGGGGTCCCAGGACAGTGCTAGCCTGTGAGGCACCTCTGTGTGAATTAAGACAAGGTGCCCCTTCCTCCTGGAGGACACGAACCCAAGCAGAGCCCGTGGCTGGCAGGCCAGGCAGAGGCGAGGTTCTAGGAGGCGCCCTAGTGAGGGCATAGCCAGCACCGAAGCAGTGACAGGGCTGGGTGGGGACAGACTGAGGCGGCCTGCGAGGGGCCTGTGGCTCAACGGAACCAGTGTCCTGCTGGTGGAGGCAGCCGCCACTCGGCCCAGCTGATCAGTCAGGCGAGGCCAGAAACAGAGGTTTGGACATGAAACCTCTCGCTTTTTAAAGCAGTGACTAACTTCAAAATATCCAGAAGCACCCTGCACAGGACATAGGAACACCTCAGTGGGCCACCAGATCGAGACCCGCCCGGGTGGGAGAGTGTCCGCACTGGCGTCTGCGCCCACCTCGCTGACCCCCGCCTCCTCCCGCCAGGCTGGGCTGGGCAACTGGAGAGGATGAGTCAGCCGCAGGCCTGGCCCTGGGCGCGGAGCCTGCTACACCCACCTCCGCCCTGGGACAACCCTGGCTTCGTTCCCCTGGCCTGAGGCCCTTCCCAGTCCACTGCACTTGGGATAAAGTCCACGCTCCCAGGCTGGCTTCCCAGGCCAGGCGTGGCCTCACACTGCCACCAGGCCGGCCTCACTGCAGGCCATGCCTGAGCACCTGAACCAAGGAGACAGGAAAGGGGTTAAGAGCAGGAGCCTTTAAAACAGAACTTGGGCCCTGGCCAGTTTGGCTCAGCGGTTAGAGCGTCGGCCTGCGGTCCAGAGAGACCCGGGTTCGGTTCCCGCTAAGGGCGTGTACCTCGGTTGCAGTGTGTCCCCGGCCCTGTTTGGGTTGTGTGGGTGGTGGCCACTCGATGTGTCCCTTTCACGTCGATGTTTCTCTCTCTCTCTCTCTGTCCCTCCCACTCTATCTGAATAAAAAATGGAAAATGTCCTCGGGTGAGGATAAAAAAAATAAATAAATAAAATAAATAAAACAGAACTTGGTTCAAATCCCAGCTCTGCCTGTTTGCTCAGGATGGCAGAAAACAAAACACAACCCCAGACCAAACCCCAGCGCTCATGTGGGCCTCTTCCTCCAAGTCTCAGGCTGGCTCAGGTGTCCCTCCTCAAAGAAGTGGGTCTGAACCCAGGCCTGGTCAGGTGCCCTCCAACCATGTGGGAATAGGTCTGCCCCGCAGCCCCTCCCACCCCCCTGGGAGCTCTGTGAAGGCCCAAGGTCACGTCTGGGGCACTGCGGTCAGGAACACAGAGCTCTAGGACAGCACAACTTAGGAGCCGGTGTGGAGGGCTGTTGGAGGGGTCAAGGTAAATGTGGGGTTCTCAGGGCTGGGGGTCAGTGTTGAGAGGCAAGGTAAGAGCAGTGGGTGAAAGGCTGGCACTGGGGGTGAGGATGAGTGTGGAGGGTTGGGGTGTATATTTGGAGATCATAAAGATCGGGGGTCAGTGAGGAGATGTCGGCCACAGGGTCTAGTGTGGGGTTAAGGGCTGGGGTCCTGTGGTGGCGTTGGTGCGGGTCAGGAGAGGTGGTGATGGCTGCCGGCATACCTTGGGGGCCTCGTGCTGGATGGAGGTGATGCAGGCGGGGTCGATGAGGGGCTTGGGCCGGCGAGCAGACTCCTCGATGAGGCTCTGCCACTGGCGGGGCAGCCCCGTGAACTTCTGCTCATGCTGGTCGAAGCCCGTGTGCACGCGGTGCTCGAAGTTGGATGGTGCCGAGATCTCTACCCGCTTCTTCTTCTTTCCAAACATGGTGCCAAGGCTCTTAGTACCAGGAGGGTGCAGACTTGGGCTCCTGTGCAGGCCTGCAGGAGGGGGCCACTCATCAGAACCAGCTCACTTCTCCCCGCTTCTCTGGCCGTGTCCTGGTCCTGTCCATCCTTGTCCCCTTCTTGGTCTCCCACTCCCAACCACCTCCACAGTCTGTCCTTCATGGCCCGAGGGATCCCCTGAACAGCTGAGTCAAGTCACATCTCCTCTGCAGAGCGCCCTCTCACTCAGAAGTCCTCCCTGTGGCCCACCCCACAGGACTAGCCCCATCACCTCTTTACTTGCATCTCCCCTTGCTCACAGTGGCGTTCAAGCCTCAGGGCCTTTGCACTGGCTGTCCCCTTCATGGACTACTCTCCCCATATGAAGTATCCATACATGGCTCCTTCCCTCCCCTCCTTCAGGTCTGAGTCCTTGGTGAAACCTTTCCTGAGCACCCCAAGTAAAAGGGCCTCCATGTCCTGCTATCCTTCCCCACATCACTTCACGGCACATTTAATGTCCAGAAATTCTGCTGTTCTTTCCTGTGTTTACCAGTTCAGTCTACAGCCCCACCACTAGAATATCAGTGCCACAGGCGAGGTCTCCTCGGCCCAGTCTTCGGGTGCCTCCCCCGACCCCCGTGCCTAGCGCAGTGTCTGGCTCAGTGACCCGTTCCCAACAGCCTGGCCACAACCGCCCCGCTTTCCCAGCCTGGACTGCGGGCCAGGAACACTGCACCCCTTTGGTTACTTGTTCAGCAAATAGTCACTGCACCCCTGTTCTACGCATGCGGCCCAGGCAGCCTCACTGCGACACTCCCACTTCGTGGGCGAGACCGAGGCTCAGAGGAGGGAAGTTCCTCACCAAGGTCCCACAGTGGGAAACCCCACTTCATGACGAATATTAAGACAAAACAGTCCCTCTTTTTAGGGTCTGGGGTCTGCAGTCAAATACTCCAAATAGTACCAAGCACAGTATAAATGAAAGCTGGTTTAAAAACCAAAGGGGCTGAACGGGAGACATGCGACATCCCACAGGGAGACCAGACAAACAATGGGAAGCGGAGCAAGATGACCAGAGAGCAAATCTCTCCTGCCACTTCCTCTGTGTGACTTTGGACCAGTGACTTAACTTCTCTGTGCTTTGGATCAACCCCCATAGGGCTGCTGTGAGAGTTAAATTAGTTAATACAAGCAGAGCTGGGCACAAAGGAAGGGCCCTGTCCTCGTTTGCTATCTGACGGTTAGGATTACTCCTAGCAGTGTCTGAGGGAGGAGGTGGCTCGAACCTGGCTCCCCTGTCCCACACGGGGGCCCTGGAGTCCACAGACCTGGTTTGACACTGGCTGTGCTAGAAGTACCCTTGGGCGGGTGACGTCTCCTCTTGGGACTTCAGGTTACTCATCTGTAAAATGAATGGAAAGGGAACGTCACTTAGCTTCTCATTCATTCATTCATTCGTTCACTCACTCACTCACTCATTCAGTAATAAGCCATTCCTTTGTGCCCAGCCTGTGCTGGCTGGTGTTAGGGACACAGCGGTGACGGAGACAGCTTCTAACAGCCCAGAGTGGTTGGGACTGGGGTAAGGGAGCACCAAACCCAGCCTGGAGGGATGGCAGGGTAGAAATGAGCGGAGGCTTCCCAGAAGAGGTGCCATGTGAGCTTAGACCCAAAGGACAAGGGGAAACACCCAGGGTGGGAATTTTGTCTGGTGCATGGCTGGCTTCCCAGCAGCTGGCACAGTGCCCAGCACAGGGTCAGCCACAAGCTCAGTGAGTCTTACGACCTATGAGGATGCTCAGAAGCATGTCTGGGATACGGACCCTCCAGCCCCTAGCTGGCTTCATGTGGGAGAGCGAATCCTTTCCTGTGGGAGCAGCTCTGTGAGGTGAGGCCACATAGGCTGCCACCCCTCGCTCAGAGGAAGGCCCATCACTGGGCAGCCTCCCGGAGAACCGGTTTGGCAGTGAGAGACAGGTGGGTGGGGACCCAGCAGCCAACCTGTCTCAACTGGTCTGGGCCTCTTGGCCAGCAGGTGGCCAGAGCCAGGTCTGGCCAGGGCTCCCTAGCCAGCCCACTTTCCTGCATGCTCTAGGGACCCCTGCTGCCTGGATTTGGGGTGGGACAACCCTGGTCAGGAAGGGGGCCCCTTTGCCTCTGCCTCAGCCCCTTCTATAGCCCAACCACGCCAGAAGCCCCTTCAGTGTCTCTCCCCAATTCCAGTCTGAACACTGGCCAGCCCTCCCTCCCGCACTTCCCCTGATGGTGGCCTGACCCACCCTGTTCTTTCATCCTCTCTCAGCTTCTCTGCCCTCAGCTGTCTTTCTAGTTCCAGTTCTTTGCTCTGTCCTACTCTTGACCCTCTCCCATCTTCCCTGCTCTGTCACCCCAGATCTTCGTCCTGTCACCTCCTTCACTGTCGTCCCAGATGTGCCCCCTTTGGCCCCAGACCCAGCCTCACTCCTCCCCTTGGTCTCTCACTCTGCCCTGCCCATCCTCCACCTCCTGGTCCCGGCCACTGCAGGACAGTATAAACCACGAGGCCACTTATTAAACCCAGGAGAGGGAGGGGCCAGGATCCAGGTGGGGTGGGCAGGAGGCAGCCTGAAAAATGGGGCAGCCAACCCCGAACCCCTACCCATAAACCCCCAAGCCACTCTGCACAGTGCAGCCAGTCCACCCCCAGCCAAACGTGAGCCCAGAGGGGAAGGGGGTGGAGGGGCACACCTCCGGATATTTGCCAGGGGCCACCCCTTCCCTCTGGGCACTGCACGGAGGGCAGGACAAACAGAGGAACTGACCCTGTTTATAATGATCAGGCGAGAGCCCCGCCCTGGGGCAGCTCCAAGTACAGCTGGCTCCTTCACCAGGCCCCCCTCCTCCAAGTCCCAAAGCTCCTGATCTTACGGGGGCCTCAGAAGAAAGGGGAGAGGAGCTGCTACTTAAAGGTAGGGGCCTGCACCAGGAAAGGGGGTTGGGGGGATAGGCAGAGTGGTACTGGGGCTAAGAGTCAGACAGCCGAGCTCAAGCCCGGGCTCCACTGCCACACACCGTGCCTCCTCACTTTCTGTGCCCATGACCGCAGGAGCCAACACACCTTGGTAGCTCACTGTGTGGCCTGGAGCCGGCAGCTCAGCCGCTTTGTGCCTCAGTTTCCTCCCCTGTTAAAAGAGGGCTAGGACAGGACGAGCTTCCCGGAGTCTGTATAAGGAGCCACAGAGAGCGCAGGCACTGGCGGTCAGGCCCCCAGGCAACTGTGCCACCATTAGAGCAGCAGCCAACACTGACTGGGTGCTGGCCGCTCTTCTCAGGGCTCAACCCGAGCCCTTCATTCACCCTGCAGAGACCTGACCGTGTGTTACAGACAAAACAAGCAAACAAGCACACACACGAGGCACAGGGGGGACACACCACTTGCCCAGGTCACACAGCTTGGTAGCAGCATGGACATGCGATTCCAGGCCCCTCCGACCCAGAGCCGAGCCCCAGTCTTGGGTTAGGAGCAGCAGCCTCTTGGAGTCTTGTGTACTAGGCGCTGCTTGGAGCTCTCGGTGTCTCATCCCGTCCCACCCTCACAATAACCCTCATCATCCCCAATTCAGACGGGGACCCCGAGGCTCGGAAAAATGAGCCCCCTGTCCAGGCACCCAGATTTGAACCTGGAGAGTTGGATACCGAAGTCCAGGCTCCTGTCCTGCCTGAGGGCTACAGCGATGCTACCATCATTGTCATCAGCACCTCCAAGGTAGCTCCTGGCCTCCCCCTCCCCTGCTCCCAGCCCAGACCTTGCCCTTCCTCTCCCGCCCTGAACTCTTCTGGGAGGGGGGGATCCCACTTCCTATCTGACCTGTCTGTCCCAGGCCCCCAGGAGCAGCAAGAGACGGCACAAAGTGGGGCTCTTGACCCCCTCTCCCAATGTTTCCTTATCTGCCTTTCCCACGGGCCTTTGGCCTGACAGTCTGCAGCAGAAAAGATGTCTGAAAGCCAGTCCCTGCCACCACACGTGGCTTCGCTGAGGCTCAGCCCCAGTACTTACACTGCCATCACCACGAAGGGACCCCACGATGCTGTGCAGGTGCTGATGCTGAGCTCACTGACTACCTACAACTTCAGTGAAGCAGCTATTCTCACCCTCATTTTGCAGATGTGGAAACTAAGGCTCACAAAGTGAAATCCTGCACCAAAGGCACCAGAGCTGGGCCTGGAGACAGTCCGCTCCACTCGAGTCGACATCCTTAAACCCTACGCTGGCCCCCAAGGCTCCTCCTGTAGCCCACAAGACCCATCACCTCTCCCGCCCTGTCCTTCCTCACGCCCCCTCGCTCACTGCTTCAGCTACACAGACTTCCTCACTATTCTTCAATGCCCCCACCTCAGGGCCTTTGCACTGCTGGCTGCTACCTGATGGAACTTTCTTCTCACTGATTTGCACATGGCTCCCTCCCCCTATATCTGTGCTCAAATGTCCCTGTTCCTGTCCTGTCTCTCTATGCCCCCTTTCTCTGCTTTATTCTTCATTGCATTTGCCATATATTGTGTGTGTGTGTATGTGTAATTCTTCAGTGTGTCTCACCCATTAGAATGTCAGCTCCATGAAGCAGGGCCTGTCATCCGGATTACTCCCCACTGTACCCCAATGCCTGCAACACAGCTGGGCCCACAGCTTGCAGTGATTCATCTGTACCCACTACGCTATTCCCCAGCTCTCGTGCACGAGCCTCTGCCCAGGCAGACTTGTGAACTGGCAGAGAAAGCCCTGGAATCCAGAGACAGAGCGTGAACCAGTAAGCGCAGACAGAACAGAGGACAGTGTGAGGCCACCAGCTAGGGTACAGACACCTCCGAAGTCGGTGTCTGATCCCAAGAATGCAGGCACATTTTGCATCAAACTCTAAAATGTTTGTTTAAGCCCTGGCCGGTTTGGGTCAGTGGTTAGAGCTTCAACCTGCAGACCAAAGGGTCGGGGTTCAATTCCCAGACAAGGGCACATACCTGGGTTGCAGGTTCGATCCCAGGCCCGTCGGGGCGCGTGCAGGAGGCAACCAATCGATGTGTCTCTCTCACTTTAATGTTTCTCTCTCTCCCTCCCTACCTTCCACTCTATCTACAAAGCAATGGAAAAATGTCCTCAGGTAAGGATTAACAACAATAACAAAAAATGTTTGTTTCAACATTTACATTCAACATGTAAAAAATCTTTTACATTAAATAATGTCTCTTGTGAACAGGCAGTTTCCCGCCTGCCCCAGCAAACACTGCAGATTTTCCAGGTGCCCTCACTGGCTTGTTCTACCTCTGACCTTTCACGAGAGGAAAATACACCCCCCCCACCCAAGGAAGTCAGACCACTGTGTGCCGGCCACTGTGTGACAAGGCTGTCTGGGTGTGTGAGCACGTGTGAAATGTGTGCCTCCTGCTCCCAGCTCCCCACCAGGCTCTGCAGAAAGTTGCTCCCTGGAAGTGAAGGGAGCTGACCCAGCTGGAACCAGGGGTCCAGGGGCACAGAAGGGGATGTGACTGGGGTCACAGCCACCTTTTCCTCTTCACCAAACTGAAACCCTAAATGAGGAAGGGGACCAGGAAGCGCTCACTGTCCCCAGCCTGCACTCAGGGCTTCACCACTGGCTCCTGCTCCGCCTTCTGCCACGATCTTTACCTACCAGCTCCCGGAAACCGCTCCCTGCCTCAGTTTACCTCCCACCTCCCTGGGCTGTGCTGTGACAGTAGAGGGGGAATCGGCTTGCCTTCTTGGCCGACAGCAGGCTCCTCACTGCTCCCCCTAACACCCCACGCTCTTCCCACCTCCCCACCCTCCCTCAGCTCTGCTGCCCCACTGCCCAATCTCTCCCAGCCTTCCCACCACCAGCCTAGTTCCTCCAGGAACCCTCACACACCTCGTCCCCAGACCCTGCCTCAAGCTCTGGGACTGACACGTGCCCCTTCCTGGCAAACACGTACTCTATCCACAACGACCCCATGCCGCTCACACACCCACCCACTATCCAAACGTCACCCAGGCCCGATATGTGCCAGGCCCGGGGCAGGGCGGACAGCAGTGGCCTGAACAGCCAGAAACAGCCTGGCCCTTACAGAGCCGACATTCTAAGGGGAAGGAGACTGTCAACATGAGAGAAATCAGAAAAACAGCGAGTAAGTCAAATGACTAGTGACAGAAGAAAGGTGAAGCAGGGTCTGGAGGGTAAGGGGAAGTCAGACTTTGGTGAGGTGGTCTGGAAGGGCCTTGTTGAGAAGGTGACACTTGAGGAGGGACCTGAGTGGGGAGAGAGGGGGAGTCCCGTGGGTACCTGGAGGAAGAGCACTGGGCAGCCAGAAGAGCCAGGGCAAATGTCCTGAGGCAGGAAAATGGCCAATGCAGTCAAAGAGCAGAAGGGAGGCCGAGTG